CCCCACCCCAAATTTTCTAAAAATATTTGCACCACACTTTTGCCCTTAGACAGGACATCTCCACCGCCTCCTCCGCTGCAGCATTACAAAACCCAAACTTCACATCCATTAGGTGTGGTACCCCAACTTTCATACATTCCCTTTTTGCCTCCCTGGATAACATTTTTACCCAAATTCATCTTTTCAAACCTTTTAAAATTTTTCTTCAGAACTTCCAAAAGAAATGTGCACTGGAAAAGATAACAGATTTCTTGCTCTTCATCAGTTCACATCTCCCTAATACCCTAGCATTCATACTTTCAATTTTCTAGAATATAGTAACTTAATATAACAGTACACACAATTTACAGACATTTTATTTTAATTATTTTTTTTTTTTTTTTTTTTTATATCAATGGCGATTCCACCAAGGCAGGGTGGCCCCCAAAAAAAAAAAAATTTTACCCTCTTCACTCCATCATGTCTTTCCAGAAGGGTGCTTTACATACATTTTTAAACTGCAACATTTAAACCCCCCCTTCGAGTGCAGGCATGTATTCCCCTTCCCGGGTCAATCCGGCCCGCCGGTTTTCCCCGAACCCCTTTTTAAATTTACTTTTTCTCACACTCCAACGCACGCCCAAGTATTAAAAACCATTTGTCCCATTCACTCCTTCAAAATGCTCATGCATACCTGCGGGAAAGCCCAACCCCCCGCACAAAAACCCCCTTTCCCCCCTTCCCCCAACCTTTCTGGGCCCGACCCCTCCCCTTCCTTTCCCAAACAGACTGATACACTTTTGAAAGCATTCTGTTTCGTCCATTCCTCTACTGCCCCGAACCACCTCAAAACCCCTTCCCTCACCCCTTGGAAAACGTTTTGAAAACCCGCCCCCCCCCCACTTCCAAAAACAATTCTCTGCATTATATTCACACCACACATTGCCCTCAACATGACTCTCCCTGCCCCCGCCTTCCCTCGCGCAACATTATCCCCCATGTTTCACACCCAATAAGAGCTTTGGGTAAAAAAACTCTCATACTTCCCCCTTTCCCTCCAAGGAAAAAGTTCTTTGTTCCACAGCCTCCAAAGTGCCCCAACCACTTTTTTTCCCCTCATCAATTCTATGATTCCCTCATCTTTCATAGCCTTCCCTGACACTCCACCCAAATATTGAATAAATCCCCTCCTCCATATTCTCTCCCTCCAAAATTGATATTCAATCTTTTTCACCTAATCTTTTTTTTTCCTCATAACTTTCTCTTTTTTCCCGATTCCCTTTAATTTTCTTCTTTTCCCCCCCTACCAAAATTATCACTAATCTTGCAACTTCTCTTCAGAATTCCCCAAGAGCCGTGTCTCAGCAAAAAGCAGCTGTGACAACTCCCATTTGTGTGTGATTCTTTATCTTTTTAAATCCACGCCTCTTGTCAAGACCCTCGCATTTCTTCTCTTACAACCCCATCATAAATATTTAAAAAACCCCGGGGACATCCCCTCCTTGTCGAAGGCCTACTTTTAGGGAAATAATTTCCCTCTTTTACATACTCTAACTTGCCCCACATCCTCGTAAAAATCTTTACTGCTTTCAGAACCCACCTCCCACACCATACACTTGCAACATTGCCAATTGCCCCCCTATCCCCCTGTCATACGCCTTTTCCAAATCCATAAATCCCCCCAAAAAACCTCTTTAGCCTTATCTAAATAGTTCATTATATGTTTCACTGTAAACAAACCCGGTCCCACACCCCTACCTTTTTAAAGCCCCTTGTTCTTTTGTATCCCATTCTCCCTCTTACTTTAATTTTTTCAATAATAACCTACCATAACTTTTCCAGGTATACCAGCGACTTTCCCCTAAATTTTGCACCTTTTATCCCCTTTGCCCCTTTTTCAAAGGAATAGAGCTCTCTTCCCAAACCCTAGGTACCTTACCTCTTCTACATTATTAAATAATTGCACCAACCCCTCCAAAACTATATCCCCCCCTCTTTTAACTTTCTATCTTTATCCCATCAATCCCGGCCCTTACCCCTTTATTTACCTACGCCTCCGAACTTTTCCCCCACACTCACAACTGGCTCTTCCTCACTCCTACAAGATGTTATTCCTCCTTGCCCTATAACGAAATCACAGCTTCCCTATCTTCATCAACATTTAACAATTCCTCAAAATATTCCCTCCATCTTCCCAATCCCTCTAATCCATTTAATAACTCTCCCCCTCCTATTTTTAACTAAACAAATCCATTTGTTCTCTAGGCTTTCTTAACTTGTTAATCTCACTCCAAAACTTTTTCTTATTTTCAAAAAAATTTGTTGATAACATCTCACCCACTCTCTCATTTGCTCTCTTTTTACATTGCTTCACCACTCTCTTAACCTCTCTCTTTTTCTCCATATACTCTTCCCTCCTTGCATCACTTCTACTTTGTAAAAACTTCTCATATGCTAACTTTTTCTCCCTTACTACTTCTCTTTACATCATCATTCCACCAATCGCTCCTCTTCCCTCCCGCACCCACTTCCTGTAACCACAAACTTCTGCTGAACACTCTAACACACATTTTTAAACCTCCCCCATACCTCTTCGCCCCCATTGCTATGCTCTCATTACCCCATCAATCCTCCAATAGCTGTTTATATCTTACCCTAACTGCCTCCTCTTTTAGTTTATAAACCTTCACCTCTCTCTTCCCTGATGCTTCTATTCTCCTTGTATCCCATCTACCTTTTACTCTCAGTGTAGCTACAACTAGAAAGTGATCTGATATATCTGTGGCCCCTCTATAAACATGTACATCCTGAAGTCTACTCAACAGTCTTTTATCTACCAATACATAATCCAACAAACTACTGTCATTTCGCCCTACAAACATATCTTGTATACTTATTTATCCTCTTTTTCTTAAAATATGTATTACCTTAACTAAACCCCTTTCTATACAAAGTTCAATCAAAGGGCTCCCTTATCATTTACACCTGGCACCCCAAACTTACCTACCACACCCCCTCTAAAAGTTTTCCCTACTTTAGCATTCAGGTCCCCTACCACAATTTACTCTCTCACTTGGTTCAAAGGCTCCTATACATTCACTTAACATCTCCCAAAATCTCTCTCTCTCCTCTGCATTCCTCCTTTTCCAGGTGCATACACGCTTATTATGACCCACTTCTCGCATCCAACCTTTACTTAAAACCACATAATTCTTGAATTTACACATTATATTCCTCTTTTCTCCTTCCATAACTGATCATTTAACATTACTGCTACCCTTCCTTGCTCTAACTCTCTCAGATACTCCAGATTTAATCCCATTTATTTCCCCCCACTGAAACTCTCCTACCCCCCTTTAGCTTTGTTTCGCTTAGGGGCCCGGACATCCAACTTCTTTTCATTCATAACAAACAGCAATCATCTGTTCTTGTCATCCGCAATACATCCACGCACATTTAAGCATCCCGTTTTATAAAGTTTTTCTTCTTCTCTTTTTTAGTAAATGTCTACAGGAGAAGGGGTTACTAGCCCATTGCTCCCGGCATTTTTGTCGCCTCATACGACACGCATGGCTTACGGGGGGGAAAGATTCTTTCCACTTCCCCATGGACAATAGAAGAAATAAAGAAGAACAAGAACTATTTAGAAAAAGGAGAAAAACCTAGATGTATGTATATATATATGCATGTGCGTGGTCTGTAAAGTGTGACCAAAGTGTTAGTGGGAGTAGCAAGATATCCCTGTTATCTAGCGTGTTTATGAGACAGAAAAAGAAACCAGCAATCCTACCATCATGCAAAACAGTTACAGGTTTCTGTTTCACAGTCATCTGGCAGGACGGTAGTACTTCCCTGGGTGGTTGCTGTCTACCAACCTACTACCAATACAGACATACTTCCCATAATTTTAAGTGTTATATTGGGGTCCATTATGTCAAAGGTTTAATGTATTTAAATTAAACAACTCTGGTGACATTATGTATTGTCTTAAGACCTGCTCTTAATGGAAAATAATCTCCTTCTCTCCTACATGCTCAGCCTTATCTTCTCTGCATAAAACCCTCTTTGCTGCTTTTAGTATCCTTAAGTTTAAGGTAGGAAATATTCAACAAAAGAAGTCAGAAATTTTGTAACTTAAGAAAATGTTTTTTATTTTAAGTCTAGGTAAAATTTCTAATAGTTGCAGGTGACATTCAGGAAAGGGCTGGAATAATTGCACGAGAAAGGCAATTGAGAGTAGTGGTTTAAACATCCAGCAGACATATGTGAACATGTTACAATAGTGGCTGCAAGAGGTCTTTGGGATTTGAAGTGTTGTTTGAGTACATATATGTCAATAGTTGGCAGTCTTGACTTTTAGTGGTGAGAAGTACAGGGCAGGGTATGGGTCAGCCTAGGAAAGGTTGGAGGGAGGGGGGTAAAGGAGGTTTTGTGTGTGAGGGGCTTGGACTTTCAGCAAACATGCATGAGCATGTTAGATAGGAGCAAATGGAGACCTGTGGTTTTTAGGACTTGACGTGCTGTTGGAGTGTAAGCAAGGTAACATTTATGAAGGGATTCAGGGCAGCTGGCAGGCCAGACTTGATTCCTGGAGATGGGAAGTATACTGCTGGCACTCTGAAGGACGGGGGGGGGGGGGGGCTAATGTTGCAGTTTTATAAAAGTAGTGTAAGCGCACCTCTGGCAAGACAGTGATGGAGTGAATGATAAAAGTTTTTCTTTTTTGGGCCACCCTGCCTTGGTGGGAAATGGCCGGTGCATTAATAAAAAAAATAAAAGTACAGGGCCTATTCTTTGACATTTGGGTAGTATTGTTGAAGTTTGGTGGGTCATTAACATTAGAAAAAGTTAGTTAGTTCTCTCTGCCTTTGTTGGAAAGGGTCATTATGTTAAAAGAAGAAAAATAGCATGTCATATTCATGTTAGGTGTCCTAATTTTTCTGCATTTTGTATAGCTACTTTTACACTTGTTCAATTACAAATATGTGTGACATGAATCATTATTTATTTACACATTAAAGTTGTTTTATACAGTTACTACTCTCAATTTAAGAAATCAAAATCAGTATGCCTTACAATATAGTATTTGCCAACAGGTCAAGGGAAAATGCACAACTGACCACATCTCTGCTGCTGGACCGTGGCTGAAATTCCGTGGCCACTTGGACAATATCTCAAACAACATGTTTCTTACTGCTGTCAATGCTGAGAATGGTGAAATGAACAATGTACAGAACAAGGCAACAGGAGAGTGGGGTCCTGTACCTGCCACTGCTCGTGCATATAAAGCCAGTAACATCAAATGGTGTGTCATTGGTGATGACAACTATGGTAAACATACTTGCATTAATTTTCAGTATTTTGTAAATGTGTATCAGAAACCCCTTTTAATGAGTAACTTATTTAAGTGAAGAGAGATGGCATGTAGCCAGTAGAATGGTTGAAATAGGCAAATGCAGAGCAAAACTTTGAGACAACATTTTGCCCATACGACAGGCTTTCTCAAATCACTTCATAGCACACAGCAAGCTTATTTATACAGGCATGAGGTCATACATGATAGTCAAGGAGGTGAGGTGTGAGATCATGGTATGGACAGTGAATGGAGGAATACTGCAGGTGGCCTACTGGTTAAGCCAGGGACCACTGAAGGAGGCCTACTGGATAATTCATGAGTGCATTAGACCATTGTACTGTTTTTGCTTATAAAATATAAGAGGAGGTTAGGGTGTAAATAGTTTGAAGGCACTCTGGTTACGCTCAAAAGTATTAATTGCAGATTATGGCAGCTTCTAGGAATTTGTTGTTGGTATCTTTTAAGTTCTATAATATACTAATGCAGCATTTTTCCAAGGCATCAAATATCAGATTTGTCTGTATATAATCCAGGCATAATTCATGCATTCTACATGCATATTGATGTTCTTGAGAGACATGTTGCCTATGTACAGTATTTCCTATTGCAGGTTCCACAAGGTGTAAATTCCTACACTAGTGGTGTGAGTTGTTGAATTTGTCTGGCACAGTCTTAACCCTTTGACTGTTTTGGCCGTGTGTATACATCTTACGAGCCAATGTGCTTGACTTATATATACTAAAAAATTCTAGCAGCTTCAAATCAGGCAGGAGAAAGCTGGTAGGCCCACATGTGAGAGAATGGGTCTGTGTGGTCAGTGTGTGCAGTATAAAGAAAATCCTGCAGCACGCAGTGCATAATGAGGAAAAAAAAAATCTCCGACCGTGTTTTTGGATTAAAACGCCGACTTTGAGGTGCATTTTCGTATAGTATTTATGGTTGTATTCTTGTTTTCTTGGTCTCATTTGACAGAATGGAAAACATATTATAGAAATAGATGTGATTTTGATTGGTTTTACTATGAAAAGGATCTTGAAATGGAGCTCAAAGTGGCAGAAATGTTCGATATTTGCCGATGTTCAAGAGTAAACAAATGACCTCATTGTCCAATAAATGTCCAGTTAGCCATTCTGATAAGCAGTTACAAATGGGTTGACGTTATTTATACAATTATTAAGATATTGCAGTAGTCTGCATAACAGTAAATCTATATTTTGTGTAAATAAAAATTCAAAATAGAAACCAAGAGTATTATAACAGGTCTGGAGACGTGACTAATGAACAGAGATGTCTGCATTGTTCATTCTGGACCCTATTTTGAAATTGACATTTTTTAATTTGCATGAAATTGGTCAAATTGCCAATTTCTGACCACTTTATTGGGTAGTTGAAATTGGTAAATGGGCAGTTTCTTGTACTCAATCGATAGAACAAATGGAGTTCTCAAGAAGTAGCTAGGAGTTTGGTGGACTGGAACAATGGAATTGGCCAAAAATAGGGCTCAACGTGGGCAAAATCGCCGATGTGTAAATGTCACCAAGGTCGCTAACTTTGTGAGAGCATAATTCTGTAGGTTTTCCATCAAATTTCGTACTTTTGATGTCATTATCATCGGGAAAAGATTCTCTATCATTTCATAAGAAAGAATAATTTTTTGCTCTCAAATATTTTGCGACATCAGGAGACACTTCAGGATTTCGGGTTGTGACAGTCAAAGGGTTAATAGTGCCTGATTCTTATGACAGCAACACTTTTTTTATATTTTTAGAGAAGGTTGATGTGATATATTTTGTGGTATGGCCTGAAGAAAAAATAGTTTCTGTCACTGTTCTCTTCTGTGGGTGTGACAGGTATTTTGTGTGCTCAGCTTCCTCCTTAGAGGAAATTTGAGTGATATATTTTTCAGGATGTCTCATTCTTCCTCAAGATATTTGGGGATGTAGATCCTGTACAGACTGAAGAAAAAGTCAACAAGTGTGCCTCATTTTGTTCACTGCATGACCCGGGAACAAAACAAACCATAGCCATTGTTGTTGTTTTTCATTAAAACCTATAGAAGCCGTAGCCCCACATCTCAAGGAAGAATGTGATATCTTTTATAAAAGCAAGTTCATGACACTCAAGTTTCTCATGTGTGTGAGATTGAAGAAGCCAAGCATTCAACTTACTCTTATTGCCCATAAAAGAAAACACTAAACAGAATTACTTTTTTTTTTTTTTTTTTTTTCCAGGCTACACCACAGGATACATCACACCAACCCTCTCCAAGAGTAACAGGGGTTGTAGTCATAACACTGGGCACCATTAAAGATTCTTACCATCAGACACCAATTCAACCACTTGGGCTGTGTCAGTCAAGGAGTACATACCATACTTAGCAGAACCTGTGATAGAAATGTGTAGGCGAGTTGTCTCACAATTTGGCAGTTCGATACAGGAACACCAGTATGTGTGTAGAATGTACACCATGACTAATTTCTGTGTTATAAATGACAAAACTGCACATCTGATGTCCTGAAAAGATGCTGAAAAAGTTCTTTTAGGAATCAAAATGCCTGGACTCTTCCCTGATCTGCAAATAGACCCAGATCCAGGAAATATCAAATTAGCTGAACCCTTACCTGATCTTGACTACAAAAAAAAAAAAAAAAAAAAAAAGTTTAAAAATGGTTTCCCACACACAATATGTGGTAACCAGGGCCACCTGCAGTACCACACTTCTCGTTCACCTTGATCTCATTTCTCACTTCCTCAATTACTCGCCTGCTCACACCTGACTTAACTGTAGGTTACCTATAGTTGGTCTCTGGGGTCACCGCCCATGGCCTGTCCCTTGTGTTCTGGTTGATGTCCTTATTGACCAGGCTACTGGTGCCAGTCACAAGTAGATCAACATGTGAAAAACAGCCTGATTGATCAGGAACTGACTTTAGGAAGCTGTCAAGTTTCCTTTTGAAGACAGCTTGGGTTTTATTAGTATTTCTCCTTATGAATGAAGGGTGGGTGTCTTGGTACCCTTATATTTATTGAATTTTCTCTTAATGAACTCATCATGCCCCTACATAGTGGACTCATTGTGCCCTTCGCTTTCATATGGAGTGATTTCAGTGTGGAGGTTTGGGACTGGTCCCTTCAGAAGTTTCCATGTGTAAATTATATTGCATCTTTTTCACCCATGTTCCAAGGAGTACAGTTCTCCAGCTCTACTTTTTTTTTTTTTAACACGTCGCCGTTTCCCACCGAGGCAGGGTAACCCAAAAAAGAAGAAAAAACTTTCATCATCATTCATCACTGTCTTTGCAGAGGCGCTCAGATACGACAGTTTAGATGTCCCTCCAAACTGAATATCCCAAAACCCTCCTCTAAAGTGCAGGCATTGTACTTTACTTTTCCAGGACTAAAGTCCAGCTAACTGGTTTCCCTGAATCCCTTCACAAAATATTACCATGTTCACACTCCAACAGCTCGTCAGGTCCCAAAAACCATTCATCTCCATTCACTCCTATCTAACACACTTATGCATGCTTGCTGGAAGTCCAAGCCCCTCGCCCACAAAACCTCCTCTACCCCCTCCCTCCAACCTTTTTGGGGACGACCCCTACCCTGCCTTATTTTCCTTACAGATTTATATGCTCTCCAAGTCATTCTGCTTTGTTCCATTCTCTCTGAATGATCAAACCACCTAAACAACCTCTCTTCAGCCCTCTGACTAATACTTTTAGTAACTCCACACCTAATTTCCACACTCTGAATTCGCTTCACAATATTTATACCACACATTGCCCTTAGACAGGACATCTCCACTGCCTCCAGGGCCGCCTCGCTGCAGCATTTACAACCCAAGCTTCACACCCATATAAGAGTGTTGGTACCACTATACTCTTGTACATTCTCTTCTTTGCCTCCATGGATAACAGTTTTTGTTTCCACAGATACCTCAATGCACCACTCGCCTTTTTTCCTTCATCATTTCTATGGTTAACCTCATATTTCATAAATCCATCTGCTGACAAGTCAACTCTCAAATATCTGAAAACATTCACTTCTTCCATACTCTCTCCTCCAATGTGGTATCCAATTTTTCTTAATCTAAATTGTTTGATACCCTCATCACCTTACTCTTAACCATGTTCACTTTCAACTTTCTACCTTTACACACCCTCCCAAATTCGTCCACTAAGCTTTGCAACTTTTCTTAGAATCGCCCAAAAGCACAGTATCATCAGCAAAAAGTAACTTTGTCAACTCCCATTTTATATTTGATTCCCCATAATTTAAGCCCACCCCTTTCCCCAACACCCTAGCATTTACTTCTTTTACAGCTCTATCTATAAATATGTTAAACAACCATGGTGACATAACACATCCCTGTTTAAGACTTACTTTTACTGGGAAGTAATCTCTCTCCTCTCTCTCTTAGACACCCTAACCTGAGCCTCACTGTTCTCATAAAAACTCTCTATAGCATTTAGTAACTTGCAATTTTGCCTGCATTTAAAAAGGCAGTTAGGATACAGCAATATTTCAATCTAGAGAGAGCAAGTGTATTGTCATTGGCTTTACGTCTTGTTTTGACTATTCTGGTTATTCAGCCTATCATTTTCCTTGCAGCTATGATAATAACATTGTTGTGATCCTTGAATGTGAAATACTCTCACATTATTCCTTCTAGTTCTCTCATATTGAACTTCCATTCTTATAAGTGATTTAGGATTGTGTTATACTCTGATCTAGTTTTTATTTCCTTAAGCTGTCCATTCCTGAGTAACTGAAATTTGATCTTGTTAAGCATCATATTGTTGTCAGTGGCCCACTATAAGGCTAAGTTTATATCAGTTTTAGGGTTCGCTGTGTCCTCAATGGATTTCACTCATACAAATTTAAGTGGGGTTAGTACTGTGCCTCGAAAAACAGAGCTGTGCGCTGTGGCATCCCTCTATTTCACTCTGTGTACTATTACTCTTTGGGTTCTAGATGTTAGGAAGTTATACATCCTTCTACCCCCCCCCCCCCTTTCTTTTCCAGTTATTTCTTTTGTACTCATTGTGTGCATTTATTACACCATGGTCTCTTGTTGAAGGGTTTTGCAAAGTTGGTGTACACTACCTCTGCATTATGCTGGTCTTTCATGTCTCCTGGAGGTGTTATAATGGTCCAGCAGTTGCAAAAAGTAACTGCTGGACAATAGTCTAAAACCACGTTGCTGTAGGTTGTGCAGTTATTGTGATTCTACATGATTGGTGATCTTGCTTTTTAACACCCTTGATTATGTGTGACATTAGTGCTATCACTGTCTTTTTTTTTTTTTTTTGCATTTGCTTTACTCTCACCATTGTGGAGTGAGCTATATCAGTGGTTTTTAATGACTGGCAAAACTCCTGTGTCAAAGTTCCTTCTACATAGAATATTTAAAGCACGAGATAATGGTTCCTTGTAATTTTTGATGGATACTGAGTTCACAAGTCTGGGTCTGGGATAGAATTCATGGGAATGCTATCAATGGCTTTTCTGAAGTCAAGTGGAGTTATGTCAGATATTGTGAAAATGTCTGCAGTCTTGAGATTGTCAATTTTTAGACCGATTAATGGTCCACTGAACATGTGTCTATAAGACCACAATATGCACTCACATCTTTTGTCAGTGTATAAACTACTCCCGACAAAGCCCAATACAATAATGTGTTTTTGCCCTGGATTTTTCCATGAGAAAAGTATTTTGTATTTCCTCCAATTTACATTTTTTGGTCCCTGGACTCATTATTTGATACATTCAGTTTAATTGGACACACACTATGTCTTTAACTAGTGTTTCCTTTCATTTTTCAGAAAGTCTGGCAGCCATTGATAAACTTTGTGATCTGTAGCCTTCACCTGTAGAATAGCAACCTTCTCTAACTTCATTTTTATCTTCCTTTTTCATCCAGCTAAATGTGCTTTGGCATATTTTGTATTTACTTGAAAAGCCTTTGTACTGCAAACATATTGTCACATTAAGTTTTGCTGTACATTTGGGTTTATTTCAAACAGCAACTTAAGATAAATGTGTATATGTAAAGTGATAATCATGTATATAATGGAGTACTATTTTTAGAAATAATCCTTTAAGAATTTTAGTTAATCCGTTGAAACTGGTATCTCCCATATTAAAGCAATATATCTTTGAGATTGATAAATTGTTACAGATGCTCCTCGCTTATAAATGAAGATTCAACTTTTGGTATTTTGACTTGATATGGTACGATAGTGGATTAACATACCGTAGTCATCAAACTTAATTTAGGTCGGTTCCCTGCTAGTGATATGCCATATGATACCTCTACTGATACTGGATGTTAGCACCTCCACACCCAACCTAATGCTTCGTGCTCGTAGGCATCACAGGTGGGAACATTTCCATACAGTTGTTTAGCAACATATCCATACGGAGTATTTTCTGTGTTTAACCAAATTTTCCCAAGCCCATTATGTCTACTAAATGCCGAAATGTGTCTCCTGCTTCTGGTGAGCAGAAAATGAGAAAAGAAATTACTTTGGATGAGCGTGTTAGATAGGAGTTAATGGAACGAAATGATACTTGGACCGACGATCTGTTTGGATTGTGAGCAGGAGTAATAATTTATGAAGGATTCAGCGAAACCGTTATTTTCATCATAGTCGGACTTGAGTCCTGGAAATGGGGAATACAATGCCTGCACTTTAAGGAGGGGTTGATATTGGCAAGTTTGAGGATTGGTTGTTATCTCTATACTTATAAGCTTCTAACTGTTGTATTCTGAGCACCTCTGCAAAGCAGTGATAATGTGTGAGTGTGTGAAAGTTGAATGATGATAAAGTATTCTCTTTTTGGATTTTCTTTCTTTTTTTTTGGGTCACCCTGCCTCGGTGGGAGACGACCGACTTGTTGAAAAAAAAAAAAATGAAACTTAAGACAATTATTTGTTTGTTTATTTATTCAATGACGGTAGCTATTTATTTTCTTATTTATCTTATATTCATGTTCGACAAAGGGTATTTTCAACTTATAATTGGTTCATCGGAACGTAACTTCATCACAAGTTGAGGAGCACCTGTAATTAGTGTGAATACAGTGGACCCCCGCATAACGATCACCTCCGAATGCGACCAATTATGTAAGTGTATTTATGTAAGTGCGTTTGTACGTGTATGTTTGGGGGTCTGAAATGGACTAATCGACTTCCAATATTCCTTATGGAACAAATTCGGTCAGTACTGGCACCTGAACATACTTCTGGAGTGAAAAAATATCGTTAACCGGGGGTCCACTGTACTTGTAATAAAATAATGGTGGAAATATAATTTAATGACAGGTTTTTACCCAGTGTGGCTTTCTTGCATTTGACTTGTAACTAACTGGCTTAATTACTTTGTGTTTAATTTATGAATGAGTCCTGTAATCCTAGGTGAGGGTAGATCTCGGGTGCTGCTGAGCGTGAGCCTCGGCACCTGGTGGTCGTGCAAGGTTTGTGATGTCCTTTGTCGTATTCAAGAAACCAATTTGAAGAAGCAGGCTTGTTTGCCACTCCCACATTTGCTGATCCACTGACTATGACAAAGTGCCCTGTGTACATAAAGGCCCTCATTCCTAGCGTTATTTGCTCCTGCAAGGTTAGTATGATTTTAATATTTATCTTGCCTCCATTCATGAAACCTTATGTCAGTTTTAATTTTAAGGTTTTTGGATAGATGCAAAAATTTACTTTTTACCATGAACGTTATTAAGATAAAGTGAGGAAGGATAATTAATATAATATCAAGTACAATAGACCTTTTTGCATAAATAAGTTATCTCCATTTTTAAGTTTATACATGGATGGTCTTGTGAAATTAACTAATTAGGTTGGTAATTTAGTATTTAATTATTAGGTATTTTTGTTTCAGCCCTCTCAGTGCCGTATCAAACACCCCAGTGGTTCAACAGAAACTATTCAGTTAAATCACTCGTGCAATGAGCAACAGATCACCTGGTTTAAAGCTGGTTCAGCTCTGAATCGCATGAAAGCGTTAGCAGCTGGCAAGTAAAATCATCAAGTAGTATATTGTTATGTACATAAGTTCATTTGTTATTCTGAAGGTCAGTTAGCTTGCCAACTAATCTTCAAAAATAGTGATACTGTAGTTTGTAGTTTTGTAGCTATATGTAGATAATTTTTATGAATTGGTGTCTTATTTCTGTTATTGAAATATGGACTATAAGAGTTTTATAATTGATGAAGTCAATACCACAACTTAAAAGGTAAGAAGTTAGGAAAAATATCTTTGGAAAAAAATTTATTATATTTTGTGTGTGGTGGTAGGTTGTCTTTGATTGTAAGAAAGATTCATAAATTTTTAATTCCTTTGGGAACATTGTGATGGTATGTGATGCTGACTTTAATAATAATAAATTATTTTAAATTA